TGAAATTAATGATAAGCCCTCTTAGAATGGTCAAAGTTATATTTTGACGAAAATTTCTTATATTTGAAATGTTTTTGAATCAAGAATTACTATAACAGCCTGGATAACAAAGTGAACCTGTGTCAAAAATATTTTGGATTAAGTCATCAATTCATCATTTTGATGAAATGGTGAACTTGAATAGTAGGGTTTTTTTATTTATTTTTTTGCTTTGTCATTCTGGTACTTGTGTAGTTCAAACAAAGAAAATATACATTTGATAGATTAATTTCTGTGATTCCAAAAATGCTTTATGAAATTAAAATGAGATGAAGTCCAGTTCATCTAAGCTCTCCGATGTAGCCTTATTGAAACAAAGTTTAGACGGAAGTTAAATGTTCAATACCAATTTTATTGGCGGTACAAACAAATAAAAATATATTTAAATGACATTCTTATTGTATGGACTAGCCATCGAAATTTTCAATTCTGAAACAATGTCTGTTTTGATGAACTTTCAATCTACCTACAAGTAAGTATAGAATGTTCGGATCAACTGATGAAAGATAAGCTGGAAATAAAAGTTATAGGATTGAAAATGTAAAATCTGAAGATCTAAATAAGTAACATCGATAGTCTAGAAATATCCACGTGGGATTAAATTATTCACAAACACTTTATTGTGAAATTTTCACTTGATAGTTTTACAAGAACCCAACACACAACTAAATTAGTTAGTTAATTAGTTAGTAAAGACACGCCTGAATAAACTATTGTTTACCGAAACACGTGTTGCGTTTTTGAAAAACTAGTGAAAATCTCACAAAGTGTAAAGCATTATTATCACATAAAAAATCGTTGAACAGAATTAGGGACTCTGTACACTTGTGTTATGTATTTGAAATGGGAATTTTCAGTTTATAGATTAGAATTTATAGAAAAATATAAACGGTTTATTTACAAGTTATCAACTTAGGTCCATTTCTGGTCAAATAGAAAGTGAAATGGAATTATTTTATTGTTGAAAATATTAGCCTCAATGAACTATAATATACCCTTGAATTTCTAACCCCTTCTATGTGAGTTACTATAGATTCAGTATTGTATCATGTCTTCTTAAAAAAATCCTAGTTTTTTTTGAAACCTTGACTAACAGGTTTCAGTAGTACCTAAATAACTTCTTTTTTACAACTAATCCTAATTCTGAGTCCAATTTGATAAACATTGTTTCAGGATTCAAATTACCCTTTAAAATTCAATTAAGAAAGTGACAGTTTAGATTTTATGGATTAGTTTCTGGAACCATTGCCAGAGTGCTCTCGGTGAAATAGTTGTGATTATCACTATACAGAGTAGGTTGAACAGTAATTCATTTTATTTGTCATTTATATACATCTAGTGTATTTAAAGTGTGGTTTTTGAATATTATTCAACAAATTTTATATTGCTGTACCCCAAAATATTCAATAAAATATGATTTTGAAGTTTTGTTTTCAAATTTAGTGTCTAGTTATTATTTGCAGAATACCAAAAAATATCCCAAATGAGTGATATAGATTGAGAAATATATTTTTTGACTTTAAAACTTACATCACATGTGTTTATTAATTAACAAAAACTGTTACTACCATAACAGTGTTGAATAAAGTCTTGATTAATTAATTTTTTAGCTTTCATTCAGAACCTGCTAATCACAAATTGTTGTTTTTTCTATGTTGTACTTGGAACATTTTTCTTGAAGTGGAATGTTTTTTTTTACGAAATTGAAACATTTTTTTTAATCATGTAATCTTGTTGAACTTATTTCTGTTACACAAAAACCATTGAAAAAAGATATTCAAATGAAAAAGGAAGTTTTTTCAGACGGTATACTTTCAGTTTATTCAGACTATTTTAGGGTGACAATAAATAGTGAATCCAGATAATCAGTTATTATGAAATGAACCAGTAAAACGTAATAGTATTCTATTCTACCAAGTGAAATGTATTCTAGCCATATGTTGTTGGACTTTGTAATAGAATTCGAACATTTTGCCATTGTGGAGATTTCGAAGACTATTTTTTTGAGTGCTATATATGGAGGAAAGGATATTAAAATATGCCTATGATTTTTAATATTATTTATTGACCACTTCAAATTTTCAGGTGTCTTTTCTATGTTTTCTGTGGTTGAAAAACTTTTTCGATAGTCGTCTCTTTTTGCTACATTGTCTGTGATATTCAGATACATTTTTTTATCAACTACTTTGTTCAATATGTGTAATTTAAAAGTTCTTGAACAAAAAAAAGTTACATAATTGATTTTTGTTGATATCTGATAATTCTCAATTAATGCCTTATAAAAAATCAATATTTTATTTTCTAGTCTAAGGAATGTGTGTATATAAAATATTTCAAATGTAAATGAAATTTCCGAAATCTTCAGTTCATTCTTTTGCAAAATTACAACCTGTGAATTTTGATCTCGGTGTTTGACAAATTTTCACTGCATTTGAATATTTTCTTATACTGTTCCTCACTGCAACCTATGAGTATTTGATTTTTATTTAATTTTTTTTTTCATATGTATTCATTTTGTGTACATATTTTTTGTTTTAGTTATGTATTTCCAACGATGTGTCATTTTTTGAGTATACATTTTTTTTCCTCTTGTAGGATTAAAAACTCAAAAAATCTCATACCTAGTGATTACAAAGTCCTGTCAGCCACATGTAATCTTCAAAAACTAAAAGAATGAATATATATACAATTTTATAATTATTTTGTAAAAAAAATATTGTTTACAAAATACCATTTTTGGTTCGCTACTTTAGTATATAAAAAATTGGAAACTGCCAAAAAAAGAAAGAAAAAATCAACAAGTGTTAATGAAAAGTCTCTAAAGAAGTCTATATATAGATCAATCACAGTTTTTTATGCAAATTTTCCCTATTGAATCACACATATTCTCTTTTTCTGTTTATACACCAAACAAAACTTTCATTATGGAAACTAAAACAAATATCAATCATAGCAAATTCTACACAAAGATATACGAAACAGGATTGATCTTGTTTACTCTCATCAGACTGAACTCAAAGCTGAAGGTGAAAACACTTGTTATCATTTATTTTGTATAGCTTTTGAATTGTTTATACACTAAAGTACACAAAAAAGGTGATGTTCTATGTATCACTCCCTTTCTGCTTTAAGTGTAAATTCAGGAGAGATTGATTTTTTTGATCAATATTTTGTCTTTTCTATGAAAATTGTATAATTGATGAAATAGAAAAGAAGGTTTAGTAGACAATTGAGTAACTTCAGATATTTTGAAGATTCATATTGGGTGGCAGGAAACTATGTTGTTAATATGACGGGGCGGCCTTATAACAATTCTCGAAAAATAATTCTATAAATTCCAAATTTGATACTGAAATTAGAGTAAAAAAATGAAAAATAGCTAAAAAAAAGTCAGATCTGTCACAAGACAAATTGTTAAATATTCATACCTTTTGAAAATAAAACTGAAATTTCATAACAATTAGATGCTTCCTTGAAGATATTTCAAATTATCGTAATAATCTGGGTACGCTTCATAGTGCCAAGTGAAGTTATCCAACTTCAACAATTTTATGAAGTTATTTTTATGAACATTTGAAAATACTAAGAATGATAGATGATAATGGTTTTTCATGTCAATGTTTTCTTTTATGTTGAAATATAGATGAAAATATTCAAGTAACACTTTATTATGGGATTTTCACTGGAGAGTTTACAAAGCCTCATACGTATGAAAACACTTGAGGAAGCTATTGTATAGTGAAATACATGTTGCAGTTTGTAAACATTTCAGTGAAAATCTCGCAATAAAGTGTCACTTGAATAAGTTATTAATTTTAATCAAGTATCAGCCAATTCCATCACATAACATGAAAATTTTATTTTACTTATTTGTTGTTTATAAAGAGTACAAAATATCCTTCCAGCAAATGAACTTTGAACTTTTATATTTTGATACATAATAAAAATTGTAATATGTTTATATGCTATTTTATAAGGCCCCCTAAAAACCCTCAAAAGTATTGAATATTTTCATTTGCTATGAAAAATTGTATCATGAATATGTATTTATAGATCATATTTTTGTATGTGTAAATAATCATTTCAATAACCACAATCAAACCTGCAATTGAAAATACTCGATAGGAAAATTTATGGAACAGCAGTGGTACGATTTGAGAAAAATTTTGATTTACGACCATGTGTAGATCATGCATAGAAGTTACTTTCAGATACAATCTGGAAGAAAGAACCCTCCCAAAACAACTACTTTCATAAAAACATCAAATTACAAAAAAGAAGTACTTTTTTATGAACATTGAATTATACATAATATAATATATGGAAGAGATAAAATTTCAATGGTGGACATTGATGATTCGCAATAAGAAACTTGTTTTATTGCCTCTTCACCAATTTAAATGACATTACAAGATGAAGCACTCAATTCATTTATAACATTATGACTTTATGTCAAGAATGAGTTGAATCCACTCATGTCACCACGGTACTTAATAACGTTCGTGTGCTTGTTTGATTTAGTCCCAGCTATAAGAATCTTGTGAAAATTCAAAGGAGTTTATTTTTTGGAGAGATCCGTTTTTGAGAAAGAAATGTTTTAGCTTTCTTTCTTTGGAAGTTTCCCACATTTTTTGCATAAAGATTGAGAATTATTAATCCAAATCTTGCTTTCTTAAAGAATAACATTTTTCCAACCAATATTGAATTTTTTCCTGTATAAAAAAGTCATTTTTGGGATACCAAAGAACATACATATATTCAAAAGTTCTTTGCACAGAGAGTAGAAATATGCTTATTGGCATCTTGAGTAAAAATTTTTCTCGAATCGTATGTACTTTTTATATTGCAATGCCATATCTTGTAATAATGAACATTCTTCAATTCGGAAATATTGACGGTCAGTACTCAAATGTACTAATGAAATGTAAATTGAAAATAAGACCAACAAATCCATATTGCAGTCATGCCACCACAAGGACCACCTCAGGGTGTCCCACACGGACCGCCCCACGGTCCACCGCACGGCCCTCCTATGGGCCCCGCCAGCGTGGCGCCTCACGGTCCTCCGCACGGATACGGCCCACCCGCCCCAATGCAGCAACCACCATATGGAGGTCCTCCACCAGACCACCGTTCTGACATGCCCGCCTTGAGCGAACAAGAATTCGAGGATATTATGTCCCGAAACAGAACTGTGTCTTCTTCTGCAATAGGAAGGGCAGTATCTGACGCAGCAGCAGGTGAATATGCCAGTGCTATTGAGACTCTAGTCACGGCTATATCCCTAATCAAACAATCAAAGGTCGCAAACGATGACCGCTGCAAGATTCTCATCAGCTCTCTCCAAGATACTCTGAGAGGCGTCGAAGATAAGAGCTATAGCTCTGCTCGAAGGGACAGATCAAGATCAAGAGATCGGTCACACAGGAGAGCTAGACGTGAGAGATCCTCATCTAGATACAGGGACAGAAGTAGAGACAGGGAACGTGAAAGGGATAGGGACAGAGATAGAGAAAGAGACAGGTACTATGCCGATAGGTATAGCGAGAGAGATAGAGAAAGAGAAAGGTCTAGAAGCAGGGAGAGACCGGAGCGTGAGCGAGAGAGAGATTACAGAGAAAGAGAGCCTGAGGAAACGTGAGTATATTTTTTCAGTTGTTATTTGCTTTCTATGTGCATGTCTCAAAATTTTTGAACTTCAAAATCTACAGTTGTTTACAGATCTGGACTAATAATTATGAGCATATTAGTGACCAGCTAAGATATTTCAAATGATAAAATGTTCAAACATGGACAAGCTACAGAGTTATAAGAAGTGGTATTGAAAATAAACGTGCATTTCTAGTCACTTCTGGACATTTTATAATTTGGGAACTATTTTTCCTTGTAACCTCACCACAAGAAACTGCTAACAAGTTCTGAAATGGACAAGCTACAGAGTTATAAGAAGTGGTATTGAAAATAAACGTGCATTTCTAGTCACTTCTGGACATTTTATGATTTGGGAACTATTTTTACTTGTAACCTCACCACAAGAAACTGCTAACAAGTTCTGAATGGTTTCCTTTCCACTTCACGGTTTGTAATGGGCTCATTCAATATGGTTCACAAAAATTTAATGACCATCAGACCATTGCAAATGTAATAACAAGTCTGTCAGATCCACAGAGAACATTTATTTCTGATGCTAAATATTTGCTTGTGATTTGAGTTAGTAATAATAGAAGTGGTCCATTTCACCAGCCATCAATTTGGAAAACAAGCAGATTAACCTTCGACTCTTTCATTACAAAGGTGTGTTCTCATTCAAACATTCTGAAATTAGTTCATTGATATTGTAAAAGACATTGTCATTGTTAGAATTTAACAAACCATAGAAATATTTTGAATGGACATTTTATGTCCAGCAAAATATGACAAACATCCAACGTGATCACTGTAAAAACAAGTACAGGAAAAAGATTATTGAAGGGGTTGATACGAAAAGATGAAATGAAAAACATAATAAGTCTATGGTACACAATGTTTTCCCAAGGCTTGGAAGAAATGAAGATGTTAGACGAATCACAAGCAGCAAAAAAGGGTACTGGACCATTATATGGCAATATTTTTGTCAATATAAGAGCAAATGTCAAATGCCTCTTAGAATCCCAATCTTTCCCAAGAAGTATCTTATTCATATTTTTTAAGGAAAACCTTGGAACAATTTTGATACCAGCAGAGACAAGTCATTGAAAAGTCTGAACTGCTTAGCGTTCATAAGAAAGCATAAGGAATATAAAACTTCACAAAACACGGCCAACATTAACGAATAAATAACTCCCAGGATATTCAAAATGAATTTAAGTCCTTTCATTGTGAAGTTGAAAAACCTGATTTGCCTCCTAGAATAAACAATTTAGAAAATCTATAGGATTTTTTAATTAATAAAATGACAGACCTTACTTTTTAGTAGTCCGTCTGTTTAATTTTTTTAATAAACAGCATATTCATTCAAATACTCCTTTCTTTAAGATCACTAGTAAGAAGATTGTAATTATCCACAAGTATTTTTTTAATATTGTTCAAAATTTATTTGCTATCAAATTCAGTTATGTAGTATACATATAGATTGAATTTAAGGTTTATTCTCCAATTATTACACCAATAATCATGATAAGGGCATGTTTAAATACTGTTTTGTGATATCTTTTGTTAATAACTAAACTTTAAAATGATTCTATATATATTGAAATATTATAATTTTTGAAAAGTTGTATCTTATTGAAATACTGTTAGGTATTGGTTATCTATGTCTTAGGTAAATATTTGTTATGTATTTTCATAATACATTCTTAAATGAACTTCAACATGCAAAACTAATCTAAGGCTGAATTATTTGTGAATATATTTGTCTAAATATATACATGGAAATTATCAATTCTAATGGTTTCCTGATGAAACCTGTACTCAAAATTGAAGAAATGTAATAATTTCTAGCCGAATAATGTAACATTATTTACAATTTTTATGATTCCAATTGTTACTTCCATGATGTCATATTTATTTCCCTTCCTAACCAAATATTGACTGAAATTGTTCTGTCATTAAACAAAAAGTTAACAATCTGGAATACAAGCTAGTTTTGTAATATACAACATTTTAGATGTATTTTTTGTCAATCACAGGTATTGTAGGTGTATTTTGTGATATATATTGTCGAATTAATACCGTGTGTTTATACTCTTTTATTGAGATAAAAGCTTAAAATAATTATTGTAAGATAAAATCCAAACTATTCTNTTTTTCACCACTTTTATTTGTAACTAACGTTACTGCAGTTTCATCCTATACGGACATTTTCAAACTTATATGTATAGGACGAAACTGCAGTAACGTTAGTTACAAATAAAAGTGGTAAAAGACATAGAAAGTTTCATTCCTCTTTTCTTCATTATGATTTCCTACAACGTAGTAACGGCTACATCCAATCAATTTATTTTTCATTATTCTTTATGAATATTTTTTCCAATGCACGAGTTGTAAAAGTCTAGCAAATTCGTTTCTTTTTTCTGTAATGCAGATCTCGCGTATCAAGATCAAGAAATAAATCACCAGTAGATCCAGTCGATGCAGGAGGTGATGTGCCGGCCAAATCGTCAAGGTACTATGAAGATCGGTATCGTGAAAGGGAAAGAGAATCTGGACGAAGAGAGAGTGATCGCGATAGGGAACGCGACAGAAGAGGTGAAGATAGTCATCGATCACGTCATTAGTATACCATTTTTTTAAATTTCTGTCACATTCTATAATGAAGGTTTAATTAATATCTAAAATGTAGGTAGTAATGCAATGAAAAACATAATTTCTTTTAATTATGTGTGTAGTAGCAAAAGGTTAGGTTTCTAAATATATGTTTACTTTTGATTGTGTTTGAAAAAGTAAAATAAGGTTTTCTTAAAGTGATAAGATAAATGTTTTTTAGAGTTGAAATGAATGATATAATGGAAATCACCATCCGTATTTTTATTTTTTGTATGTCCTATACCTTCATTTGTTTTTTGTATCATATATTCCCGTTTGTATTTATCTTTCGACTTACTTGCCTTGTTAATGGTAAAAATAGTACTGAAAGGAAAGCCTCAATGGGTTGATCTGGTAATCCGAAATATACTTGAAGAATTTTCTCATTATTCAAGTAATATAATTCAGAATGGTGAATATAGGTCCGTGATTTTATTACACTTTCCTTTTGAATTCAAAATATTTCAATCTCCTTATATTCAAAATTCTGATATTTATTTAATTGTTGATATGTTATTTTATGATCAATAAGTTTGAAGCAGTCAAAATAACACAAAATGTTTTGCACACATAAATTTTGAAACTGAAATCTAGTATCATTTTATCCAAAATGATGCTATTGAGAATTTTTAATCTTGGAATGAGCTTGTTTCATGATTTATTTTACTCGAAATTTGAAGATTACTAAATTCTTATATTGCCAAATCGTTTACATTTTACATTGCAGAAATTTTGAAAAAGAAAAAATAAATAATGGAAACTGTTTATATCTCCGGTAATGTGTAATCGCCATTAGTCGTACTAAATACTCGTTCTGGGAAAACAGGATAAACCTGATCCTTTATTGCACACTAGTTCAGTGACAAACCAACGAAAAAAAAGATATTCAAATGTTTCATTTGAAAAACTTCCAAATTCTTCAATGACTGTCACATTGACAACCACCTCATCTAACATTCATATTTCATATCTTTTTCAAAATTTACTGAAGTTTGAGGTAGAGTTGGTTTATTTATTGATGTATATATTCTGATATAAGGAAAAGTGAACTTTGAAATTGGTGAATAATTTTTACTTGAAATATGAAATAAAAAACGTGAATTTAGATAGTGCTTTTATTTATAGGTAATTTAGAATTAGTATTTTTCATATCATTTGTTAAGACTTGATTCCACTAATTTTTTACATTGGTAAAGAAGCAGTTTGGTCTTGATGCTATGAGCCATGTTCAATAAGGAGATAAGCATTTCTGTTTACAGTAAAATGTGGAATTACTGTGAACCATAAAGTTCATAAGAAAGGAAATAGTTCAAATGTTGAAACTTCAAAAACCCGTTTCATTAGCGGTACTTGGCAACTATATAATAGCATCTATTTGACATGATTGATTTTATTGATTAGCAGAGGGTACATTCGAATTCTTGCTGATTTGAATTAATTTTATTTGGCAAATGTAAAACAATTTGCAACTCAATGAAAGTATGATGCAGTCAACAGTCAAGTCAGCCTATTTACAATAGTATGAAACAAGCCCATTCAGAAGATAACAACTTGTTGGTAATGGTCAACTAAAAATTCATTTTGTAAAAGTTGGCAAAACATTTTTAAAAAATATTTCATTCCCAATGATGGGATTTAATTATCTAATGGTGTGAACATTTTTAAAAGCTCACTTTGGACATCAACTGGTAATTTTATACAAGAATTTAGTGTTCTGTTTTTTATAATGTTATTCAAACGATGCTAAACAAGTTGAAGACAAATATTTTCTCTGAAGCTCTAAAGGTCGACAGATGACTGATAGTTTTTCCACATAAATGAAGTGTATCAATACTTTTTCATTTCTCGTATAACAAATGTTTGAAGTACAGAATGAATAGGAAAAATTAAATTCAGTGTTCATAATTTGAAAGTAGTTGTTTTGGATGGGTTTTTTTTTAAACGTCTGTGCATGATCTACATATATTTGTAAACAGCTTTTATTGAAGGTAATTTTTCTTGTTTTGGAAGTTTCTCACATTGTAAATGGTTTTTCTATAAGAGCAGCGTGTGGGGGCCATGTTGTTTTGGTGGCCTGTGTTTAACCTATTTAATATTCAGCTTTTGAGCAGCACGTTCAAATGTTGAAACCATAGTTCCACAGTAAGTTTTCGCACTTCAAAGAAAAGCTAAATCGGCCGAGAATATCGGCACGGTTCGTGAAAGTGTGCAAGAGAACCCGTACAAGGTCCAATTAACTCAGGAGCCCTTAGTTACTGACCTAAGACAACGCTGTTTGTTTATTAAATGGGCTTCGAAGCGTTTGAAAGAGGACCCAAATTTTGTTCAAAAAGTAATCTTTAGCGGCGAGGTTGAGGTTATGTTAATGTAATGGTTATGTTAACAAGCATAACTGCCATATATGGGATAACGTCGTCGACCCACAAGAAGTTCTCCAGGTAGCAATGCATTAACAAAAAATTAGTATCTCTCGTAGATGTGGTAACCGAGATTGTGCGATTTGACCCCGCTGAAGTTTTTTGTGGTGTTTTCTGAAGTCACAAGTCTATGTCAGTAAATCTCAAACGACTGATGGCCTTTAAATCAATAAAACCCAGGTCATCGCTCAATATTAGGATCCATGCTGAACTCAATGAAAATTAGATTACACTCAATGAAAATTAAAAAAAAATTATTAACAAGACATGGAAATTGAAAGATTTCAAACCAAGTTACTTCACGAGGTTTCGAGTGTTAGTATCCACAATCTTCTTCTGGTGCTACTGGACTTATTCCTCAGAGATCCCACTATTTATAGGTCATTCGAGTGCTTTCACCTATCCCCTCTTCCATTGGAATGCAGAACTAGATACCTTCCTGAAACACATCAACAACGTAAGTCCTTCCATCAGATTCACAATGGAGAAGGAAGTCCACAACGAATTGCCATTCTTAGACGGATTGGTGAAGAGGACCGACACTAAATGGGAAACATCTGTATATCGAAAACCCACTCACACAGGACAGTATCTGAACCAGAAATCCAACCACCATCAATCGACTAAGACAGAAATCATCAAGACTCTACTAGACCGTGCTTTCGGGCTCTGAAATACAAAGAAAGGTCTCGAAAAGGAACTAGGCATCATCATAAATGACCTTCAACGGAATGGTTACTCCAAAGTGATGGTGGAACAGTAGAAGGCAGCAAGAGCTCCACAAGGAAAAGAAGCCGCCACAACCAGTACTTGCACTTCTCTACACCTGTTTCAGATCTGGGAACACTATCCGTAGCAACCTCACGAAAACCAGGCCACCAAACGCGGACTGCGATTCCAAGAATTGCATTTATCGTATACCCTGCGAGTGCGGAAAATCATACATTGCATTGCGGAGCACAAGAAACACACACAGCTAGGAGGACCAGCAAATCCGGAATAGCAGAGCATGTTTGGACTCATCAATATAACATCAAGTGGGTCCAAGCTGAAATCATGCAGAAGAGGAACACTGCTTAAGGAGAAAATTTAAAGAAGCCAAATATATGTTGTTCAACAACGCATTTAGCTAAGCTAGCGTAGAAATATGGAAACATCTAATCAAGCGCAACACGACCAACTCTCGCTAAACGGTCAGCTTCCGCTAAAATTAATGAAGCAGAGAGAGGGAAGAGGGGATGGTTTTTAGCACTCGAATGACCTATAAATAATCAGATCTCGTACTAACAATCGAAATGTCTTGGAGTAACTTTGTTTGGAATCTTTTAATTTTTATTTCTTGTTAATAATTTTTTAAATTTTCTCGTGTTGATGGTTCAATTTTTTGTTTTTTTTTTGGTTGTTGCTTGTGTTTTATTTCACTGTAATTTCATTTTTTTTTTCTTAATATAATTGTTATTTTTTAGATAACCTTTTTAATTTTTTACAGATTCTTTCAGGGATTTCAAATCAGTTTATATCATATTAGACAATGGAAGTCCCAACTAATGAAATGCATGTAATGAACTGATTACCAATTTCCATACAGTTCAGTCAGTATAAAAACGCTTGAATCTATTGCAGAGCGAAACACGTATTGCAGTTTTGTACACTGCCCAGTGAAAATCTCATGATAGTGTTTCTTGAATATGTTATGAATTTTCATAACATATTCAAGAACACAACCCGCTCTTATTGAAAAACCCTTTATGCTGATGCAGAAATGGAAAGCTATTCATTCTTCTAATAAAAAAGGTAAAGCTAGGATATGATTGGCGAAATTTCAATGCACTAGAATTTTACTGAAAGATATATATTACAGTAGCAATTGTTATATTTGTTTTAGAGTTGTGAAATGTCTCTCAACAGCCTAGCTTCCAGCATATTCTTTAAAATATAATTGGTGTAAAAATTTTACAGGAATATTTTTGAATATTACTGGAGCTTTTTCCAACACAAAACCGAAACACCTCGACATGTGTTTCAATCACCAAGTGAACATTTTCAAGAGGAAGATCAAACTAGTTTGGTGTTAGGAAAAACTCCAGTAAAATTTATTACTACACCAAAGGTTTCAAACACTGCACCACAAGAAATATTTTTGTTGAAAAATTCCACACCACCATTTTCAACCAATCAAGTTTAGTTATTTTAATTTGTTACTGTGACAAGTAAGGTGATCGCACTGAAACCTTTGGCTAATGCTCATTTACAGTTGATGAGTGGGTTATCTTTTAATATTTTGAATGGCAACTATATAACACCAAAATGTTTATGATCTAAATATCCTAAATTCATGTAATTGGTATATTCTGACTAAGCAAAAATCCTTAATACTATTTTTTGTACTACAAAGAAATGGCAAAAGTTGGTGAAGTTTGCGTTATGTAGAATTATCTTATAAGGCAAATTAGTCATGCAGATTTTTGTCACTATGAATTATTTCGCTTGCTTCATATGTCAACAGATGCTGATTTTATATTCTCAAAGTTGTCTTAAAATGATACGTTTTGATGTACCCTCTCCTGGTAGATACATAACGTGTCTCTAATTTAAGTTTTCAGTATTTGTAATACTTATATAATATAATCCATAATGTAAACACCAAATTGAAACAAAAATCATAATTGCAAATTGAATACACATACCTTTTTTTTTGTTTGGGGGAAAACCACTCATGGGCATCGCTGTTTTAAGCTCTATCGCGAGCGGCAGTGCCAGACTCCTATTGACTAAAACCTACATGATCAAAATAAACCTT